ACCTTGCTGATACTTGAAATTTAAAGTTTATTCTTTAAACAGTTTTGGAAATGACGATTATTTAAAAGGTAGAGGAGGAGTTCACTTTCCTGGATTCAACAACAACTTGAGCCCTTTGCGCAACAATTTGGAAACTGCTGGTGCTGCCATTTCTTGGCAGTCAGAATTTATTAGAACAGACATTTGTGCTTATTCTTACATTTGGGGAAATAGTAAGTGCTGGGAAATGTCCAATTCCTCTTTACCCAATTCTCCTGATCCAATTTAGCACATTATTATACATCCAGGCTTAGCATAAAGGTAACCTGCAGGAAATCAGGATCAGGTATCTCCCGCCATTTCATCTCAAACGATTACTTTATTTTATAAAAGAATCCTACGTTTTTGTAAATGGAATAAGGGCCCGTTAAGGAGAACTTAGATGCATGTACTCAGCATCTAGAAAGATTGCAGTTCCAAGTCCTGCATTGAACTGGAAGCTAATTTAGTAAATCTCTCTCTTTCAATCCTAGGAAGAAGGCAAGGGCAAACCGATTCTGAAAATGTTGACAAGAAAATTGCACAGACAACTGCATGTAATTGCCAAAAATCAACCCACACACATGTTATCAGGGTAGCATTCCAGGGATGGGCTTCAAAATTTTTAGCAAGGGGTTCTCTGCCCAATTGTTGGGTTGGTGTGGCCATGGTGGGTGTGGCCTAGTCGGCCTCCTGAACCAACGGGGAAGGGATTTTTGCCCTCCCTGGGGTCCGGAGGCTTTCCTTGAGCCTCCGGGATAGTGAAAATGGCCTCCCCAGGCTCCAGAGGCCATCTGGAGGCCAGTAATGGGCCCATTTCTGGCCTCCAAAATTTACAGTAGGCCTGTTTTTTCCCTGTAACTGAGCCTCCGTGAGTCCACACGCACTTACCTGCTTCCAAAACAGGCCGTGTGGGGACTCCTGGGAGGGGAGGGGCAGGTGGGCATGGCCAGCCAGTAATGGGATTTGGGGGTTCTCTGAACTGCACAGAATCTTAGCTAGAGGTTTTTCCAAACCCCTTCAAACCTCCAGCAGCTCACTCCTGTAGCATTCTTGCCTCTGACTATATACTGAAGGAGAGAAGAATACTGACTGGTTAATAGAATTTAATATAGGTAGAAATCGGATTTACTTTATTCGTTACATTCCAGGTAGTCCTCAACGTACGACCACAATGGAGCCAAACATTTCTATGTCTAAGTGATAACATTTGTTATGTGATGTTTGCCCCGTGCTATGACCTTTCTTGCCACAGTTGTTAAGTGAATCCCAGCAGTTGTTAAGTTAGTAACACAGTTGTTAGGCGAATCTGGCTTCCCCATTGCCTCTGCTTGTCAGAAGGTCACAAAAGGGGATCACATGATCTCGGGACACTACAGCGCTCAGGAATATGAGTCCTTAGTCAAGTACTTGAATTTTTAATCACAGGATCATTGGGACACCGCAATTTTCGTAAGTGTGAAAAACAGCCACAAGTCACTTTTTCACGCCAGTGTAACTTTGAACGGTCCCTGTTGTAAATCGAGGACTACGTGTAGTAGAATGCCTGTCAATCACACTTCTCTGAATGTTGACTAAGAGAAACTACAACACAATAAAAACAGCAATGAAACCGAAATCCTATCCATTTACTTTAACAACAGGGCAGCAAATAAAAGCACCAGCCGTAAATAACCAGTAATTCTGAAAAGATGCTTGGACAATAAAAACAAGGTATTCGCCGCAATGAAAGTGTCACGAAAGGCTGTTTCTGGAGGGCTCTCTGCAGTGCTATTGAAAAGGCTCTCCTACCAATGAGCTACTTGCCCTTTGATAAGAAGATCTGCTGAAGGGTTTCAGAAGAAGACAGTTATGTGCGCGCAGAGATACGGTTGCAGGAACTGGGTATGTCTAGTTTAATGAAAAGAAGGACTAGGGGAGACAAGATAGCAGTCTTCCAATATCTCAGGCTGCCACAAGGAAGAGGGAGTCAAACTATTCTCCAAAGCACCCGAGGGCAGAACAAGAAGCAATGGTTGGAAACTAATCAAGGAGAGAAGCAACTTAGAACTGAGGAGAAATTTTCTGACAGTGAGAACAATTAATCAGTGGAACGGCTTGCTTCCAGAAGTTGTGAATGCCCCAACACTGCAAGTCTTTAAGAAGATGTTGGATAGCCATTTGTCTGAAACGGTATAGGGTTTCCTGCCTAGGCAGGGGGTTGGACTAAAAGACCTCCAAGATCCCTTCCAACTCTGCTATTGTATTGTATTGTATTCTTTTCCAAATAGAGTAAGAACATAATAAAAAACATGGGCACTTCAGGCACCCTTTCAAGAGGAAAATCCATACAATCCCATGCAGATGAAAGCAATGAAGATATCAAAGGCAAATAAATGCATCCTGCCACTCATATTCATGTGTTTGATGATTTCCCGCTTTTGCATCTTTTCACAGCGAGTGTTTTGGCCCGCCAGCGGAGGTGGCAGCAGATTCAGACAGTGAGGAGGTTGGGGAGGAACATGGGTGAGTCCTGGAGTCTGGGAAAGGTTCTGATGAGGGCTCTGTGTCGGAGGCAGAGAGTGGGCCAGAGCCGTATGCCAGTTATCAGCTGCCTTCAAAGTCAGATATCAGTGAAGTAGACGAACAGCTGGAACCTGTTCCCAGTGTGCGCATGTGCTGACTTGCAAGATGAAGGGAACAACTAAAGAACAGGAGTCGTCTTGGGAGTAAAGCCACAGGTGCACAATGAATGGCCCCTCCCAGAGGAAATGAAAGAGGAGCGAAAGGGGAGGGGAGTTTGCAGGAGACAATTAGTTCACTTAATTGGTTTGTGACTCTCCAAGACTCCTTTCCAAGTTTTGCAGATATCAGCCTGTCAGCTCTCCAAGCCGGATAAGGTCTGTGACTGGGAATCCTCCCTTGAAAAACTGGATATGAATGAGCAGAATTCACAGTACATTAATACAAGATTTTATTTGTCAGGACAAGGTGTTTGCTTCTTGGGAAGCCTTGGTCAGAACAGAGAGTTACCTCACTTGGCATCCAGACAAACTTTTTTTCTCCCAAGTTTTTTGGGCTGCTGGCTATCATTGGCATTTCGAGAGCATAGTACGAGCCTCTACAGAAAATGGCAGCCGTTATCAGGGTGACAATCAGAAAACACACATCACTCAAGGAAGGAAACGGCTGTACTTTTTCCCTACCAGCTTCCCAGGATGCTTTTACACCATTAACTCACCTTTGTCTTTTTGTATGTAGTCATAAAGGTAAAGGTTACATCTGTCCAGTCGTGTCTGACTCCAGGGGCAGTGCTCAATTCTGTTTCTTGGCCAAGGAAGCCAGCATTGTCCAAAGATGCTTCCGTAGTCATGTGCCCAGCATGACTATACACCAAGGCACATGGAATGCTGCTACCTTCCCACCAAAGTGGTACCTATTTATCCACTCACATTTGCATGCTTTTGAACTGCTTGGTGGGCCGAAGTTCTGTCAAGTAACGGGAGCTCACCCCATTTTGCAGTGCTCAGGGTCTTGAACCCGTCATGTCAGTTTTACAGCTGACAAGCTCAACATCTTATATAGACATGCCCCCCCCCCCCAAATATTGGCATACCCATCCTTTCAAAGTCTAAAAATGGCTTTGAAGTCTGCTTGCTGATTTACCTGGTTAGTCAATTTATTATACCTGCCTTTCCAAAATGATTCTGGGCATCTTATTATTAAAATAAAAAACAAGATTAAACTGCAATGAAATACAGTAAAAATTGTAGAACAGAATCCACCAAAGGAATTCAGTAAGTCAATAGTCACTTTGGATGGAGCCACAAATCCTCCTGACTCAAGGAGTGAGGAGGACAAGGAAGTCACAAAAGTTTTAGAAAGGGAAATAGGCAGTGGTGGGATCCTGCCAGTTTAACAACCGGTTTGGTGATTGCGTGCTACACGCTTGTGCACGCACTCTGTGCGCACCTGCACAGGTTTTAACAAAACTTACCGTCCACATTACTTCTGGGAAGTAACACAGTTGAGGCACATCAATCAGCTCAGCCGCTTGAATCAGATGAGAGGATATACCGTATTTTTTGGAGTATAAGATGCACCGGAGTATAAGACGCACCAAGATTTTGAAGAGGTAATTTATTTAAAAAAAAATGTGCACTCTGCAGGCCTCCCAAACCCTCTGTATGCCTCATTTTTTGTAAATTTGAGAGGCCTGCAAAGTGTTCCTGGGGGTTGGGGGGGCAAAAATGAGCAAAAACTAGCCTGTTTTTCACAAAAATGGGCCTGTTTTTTGCCACAAACAGGGCATGCATAGGCTTTCGGAGGCTTGTAGAGCGCTCCTGGGAGTCTCGGGGGGAATGAGCAAAAAATGGCCCATTTTTCACTCATTTGTGCCCTCCCCAGCCCCCAGGATCACTTTGTAGGCCTCCCAAACCCTCTGAACGTCCATTTTTGTGAAGGAGGCGGGATTTCAGGAGGCCAAAAATGCTGTATTCAATGTATAAGATGCACCCAGATTTTCATCCTCTTTTTTGGGAAAAGGTGCGTCTTATATTTTGAAAAATACGGTAGGTAAATAAAGGGCAGGAGCGGGTGGGCGGGTGGGTGAACCAGTTTGCTCCCAGCTGATCGTCGGAGCTACCAGTTCGCCCGAACCGGTCTGAACTAGCTGAATTCCACCCCTGGAAATAGAGAAAGTCAGGACCATTTGGTTCTTGGAGAAATGCTATTCTAGGGACAGGCATTTGATAGAGAAGGCACATCTCCTGGGTCCTACCAGATCACACTTATTGTGTGACAGGGTTTGGAGCTCACCAACTTTGTCAGTTCTTACTGGATGAGGGGAGTCTATTGCTAACAGTCCTGTAAATAAGTCCTGGCTGTGTGGCATTAAGGATTCTAAAAGGGTTAAGTCGCACTTTGAATTCCACCTGGAAGTCAGCTGGCAACTAGCAGATTCTCCTTCAGCCAAGACTAGGAGAAAAAATTAAAAGACTCACCATCCATGTCCAACCGCTGCATAATAATGGCCAGTTCCACCTCGCTAGGCATGTATCCCAGAGAGCGCATGGCCATTCCCAGCTCCTGCTTGGAAATGAAGCCATTGCCATCCCGGTCCAGGACTCGGAAAGCTTCCCGGATTTCTAAAAAAAAAGAAAAGAAGAAGGATTGAATTATTTTCTTAGTGCACTGATTTTCTTCAAGCACTAAGACCTTGAAGTTGTTCTTAGGAGGATTACAACAGCCAGGCTCTTTGAAAAACATGTAGTCCTTGGCTTACTACCACAATTGAGCCGTGAACGTGAATTTTGCCCCATTTTATAACCTTCTTACCGCAGTTGTTAAGTGAATCACTGCAGTTCTTAAGTTAGTATCAGAGTTGTTAAGTGAATTTGGTTTCCCCATTGACTTTAGAAATAGGAATAGAATAACAGAGTTGGAAGGGACCTTGGAGGTCTTCCAATCCAACCCCCTGCTTAGGCAGAAAACCCTACACAACTTCAGACAACTGGTTGTTCAAACTCTTCTTAAAAACTCCCAGTGTTGGAGCATTCACAACTTCCTGAGGCAAGTTGTTCCACTGATTAATTGTTCTAACTGTCAGGAAATTTCTCCTTATTTCTAAATTGCTTCACTCTTTGATTAGTTTCCATCCATTGCGTCTTGTCCTGCCCTCAAGTGCTTTGGAGAATAGCTTGACTCCCTCTTCTTTGTGGCAGCCCCTGAGATATTGGAACATTGCTATCATGTCTCCCCTGGTCCTTCTTTTCATCAAACTAGACATACCCAGTTCCTGCAACCGTTCTTCATCTGTTTTAGCCTCCAGTCCCCTAATCATCTTTGTTGCTCTTCTCTGCACTCTTTCTAGAGTCTCCACATATTTTTAAAATTGTGCCGACCAAAACTTTGCCTCTTAGAAGGTTACAAAAAGTAGTCATATGACACCAGGACACTGCTACTGTCATAATTGAGAACCAGGTTCCAAATGTTCAAATTCACATGGCCACAGGGATGCAGCAATGGTCGTAAGTGTGAAAAATGGTCATGTCACTTTTTCCAGTGGTGCCGTAACTTTGAACAGTCACTCTATGAATAGTTGCAAATTGAGGATTACCCGTAGACAACTAGAGATCCTTGGCTGTGAGTGGGATTATCCTCTTTTTTTCCTGGCCTGATTTTTTACATCCTTCCTCCTTTAGGCCGTGAGTGAGTCATATACAGTATATATGCATGAATATGTAAATTTCAAGGACATTCCAGAATTCCCTAATGGAAAAAAAGCCTTATTGCCCATCTTCCATTTCCATTTCCA